ATCTGGGTTCTACAGGTGAGTGTGTGATCCTATTATGTGGCTCACTAGGTCGACGTTGGAGGAATATATGTTTGCTTTCCTCGCTAATTACAGTAGTTTAGTCAAGGGTTAGGGTAGAAACGTAGAGAAACCAATAAGAATTTCCCAAAATTTTCTGCCAGAATTTTCATATTTTTAACATATGTAGTTGACCATGTGCATATTTTCTCTCAGTGTTAGATAAAGACATGTTCGCTTTCTCCAAAATTTTCCTCACAAATTATACGAATTTTCCAACATACCTGATACAGAAAAAAACCAAGAATTTCCCGAAATTTCCCCCCAGAATTTTCATATTTCAACATATGTAGTTGACCATGTGCATACTCCTCCTATAGATACTATGTTTATGTTTGGCGGCTGCGTTCGCGGTGGGAGCTCCGCAAGCTCTCATCAACTCTACTGTGGCGCTTCTGTTGACGTCTTTCGTTTTGGAATTGTGAGTGGGGGAAAATTTGAGAATTTTCTGATGGAAAAAATGGATTTTTTTCCGAGTGGGAAGAGCAGTGAATTTGAGGAGAGTTTCCTGCGAGATTATGAATCGAAAATCTAATATATTTTCAGAAATAAATTCCTATACATTAGAGCTTCACCCTAGTGATATGAAAAACATATTCCGGCTTTCACTTGGCGAAAACGCAGTGAATAACGTGTAAAACAAAATGTGAAATGGTGTGAGAACTTTACGTGAAAGGGGGTGATCTTAACGGGGTAGTTCGCTAAGTGTTTTCAATTTACTCCATATCGCAAATATCAAGTTTCTCACAAAAAAATTGTAGTCATGGACTGTCGTGGCTTTAGTTTCAATGTAGTTTATGAATATTGAAAACCACCGACACGTAGGAGTTTGTGGGAAACAGTATTGGAAAATTTGCTTGCTTTCCTCAGCAGCTGAGCTCGGGAGTTTCCGAATTTTTGAAGTTTACATACGACTGAGAATAGAACTGTACAGAAATCCACAAGAATTGCCTAAAATTTCCTCCCAGAATTTTCATATTGGCATCAACAACAGGTGCATATTTTCTCACGAGATGAACTTGAACGCTTTACGATTTCTTAGGTACTGTCGCATCCTCTCGCCGACTTCATTTGATTTCATACCATTCTTGGCGAAAATGCTACCGTTCGAAAAAGTGGAATTTTTCCGAAGGCTTTTTCCTCCAATATTTGCTACCTTTTTATTGATCGCCAACATGTGGGTCAAAATTGGGCCTATTTTGTATCTTGTTATTGGCGACCTTAGATTCGCCACGAACCAAGAAGTGAGGACAGGACGACTCTTCGAAGAATTGGTGAAGTCAAATATGAAACTGCGAGATGCGATGGCGTGAGTGTTAATTTTTTTTCGATTTTTTTGCGGAAAATTTTTTTACAGGTATGAAAAAACGCGAGTTGATTACACGGTGAAAGAGTCCCCCGGCCCTGTATGTCACTTCACCGAATCGGCTGAAAGTCAACCACTCGATGTGAGTTTGGAATTTTCCTCGTCATTGGAAATTTATGTGAAATAATATATATTTGATTTCCTCACTAAGCTTAGAAGTGTTCAAAAACCAACAAAATTTTTTGCAAAAGATTTTCCTTAGCATCTTTGATGTGTGCATGTTTTCCCCCAGAATTTTCCTTGTGTGCATATTTTTTCATAATTTTTCGATATTTTCCCTCCAGAATTTTTCATGTGTACATATTTTTTCTTCATGTTGTTTGTTGTTGTTCAGGACGGTCCGGAAATCGATCTGGGATCTGTTATAATGAGAATTATAGCGGGGCTGATGATGTTTGGTATGGTGTATTCGGCGTATACTAGCGAGTAGTTAGGCTTCAGCCGAGAGAATGTGTTGGAGTTAATAACAAGTTGGGTGAGAGAGAAAATATGGTGGGGGATTTTTAGACATACCACAGTCGAGGGTGATATAAGAAGTGTTATAAGCCTAAGCCTTCTCGATGAAGGGATGGAGTGCTCGCTGCTTGCTTCGTGTTAAGCGTTATGAAACCCGATGGATTTAGACTGCAGATCCAAAAAATGGAATTTTCAACAACAAAAAAGCCACGATGAAAATCGCCTCAAACGCCCTTCGAAGTTCCTCCTCTTCGTTGTTTTCATCTCGAAAAATTTCATTGCAGTGGCGTGGTTTCAGACTTCTGAAGTCAGCACAATATTGTTTATTCTTTGCGAGTTAAGTTTATCGACACCTTGCGTTATATTCACGTTAACTCTCTCGTGAATTGACCTGTAGCTGAGCGCAGATCTACGTGTAGTGAATAATATCAATCTCTCACAGAGTTGTTGAGGAAACTTAGTCTTCGTCAATTTGGTAGTAAATAAGAGTAGCACTAGCTTACTAGCAACGTAAATACACAAAAGAAGACATTAACACAATTCCATCACATATCCCTCGTAGGATTGAGGAATTCTTAATGATGAAAACAATCAACATCGATTGGGTGTAATCAGGCTGCTGTCTTGTGATACGGTTGATATGGACGGAGCTTCAGCGCGGTTTGTACCGATGTGAAAACGGTGAATTCGAGTGGGTACGGAGCATGCTGACCAATTTAATGATACTCCATATTCATAATCGTAGCCTCGTATATCTATTCTCTGGCCTTCCTGCCCGTCGTTACTCACTGGAGCAGTTTATCCTGTGCACTATAAGGCATCCTCCTCCTGCTGCTACAGTGTGTTTTTGTTAGTTACTCGCAGAGATCCAGTGAGAGTTGGCTCAGAAGAATGATCTTTGGAAGCGCTTTTCAATGGTGTCTTTGAATTCCAGCGCATGCGTGCAAAATAGGTTAGGACCACGGATATTTGTATTTTCCTCTATGTCGACTCCTACTTATGAATAGGCAGCTCAGGAGTCCTTTGAAAGGCTCTTTACATCCCCTACAGTTACTAGAGGAAATCAATAGTGAATTAAACACAAGACGCACATTGGGAGAATTTTGTCGCGCGCCACGAAATTACCATTTGGCGAAATTCACGTTAATCGTCGTCGTCGTGATGATGATGCTGATCCACTGTGATAGCCCTTGACGAGAGTATCATTTTAATGAAGTTGGCTCACTATCGTCGCTCGATCCTATTGAGTGTAATAGAGCGACTCCTTAGGTGAGTTTCACCCAAGGAGATTGATATGAAGTAGTGTATTGCCGCCGCTTTCCTGAAAATTATGGGAGTTGTGACAGGGCTTCACTCTGTATTGTTTGTGAACTCTAGTGCATGCCCAACGTGGGGGCCTCCCCGCATCCTGATGATAATAATAAACACTTTACATGGGAAGCCAAATGGAAACAATACGCGCCGGAAAAAGCATTACTCGTATCTGGTAGCAGTATTACTATTACTGCTGATGTGCTTATAATAAATTTAGGTTCCTTTGGTGGGCCCTTTGTTATCTTCACTCTAACTCCATTACGTAACGGGTTAACACTGGCTTCACAAGACCGAGTACTATTCTAAGTGGCCTCTTCTTCTTCTTGTCGTTGTTATTGTTGTGGTTGTTGTCGTTGTTATTGTTGTGGTTGTTGTTGTTGTTGTTGGTGTTGTTGTTGTTGTTGTTGTTGTTGTTGTTGTTGTTGTTGTTGTATATGTTGTTGTTGTTGTTGTTGTATATGTTGTTGTTGTTGTTGTTGTTGTTGTTGTTAGGAATCTTCTATCAGGTGTCAACTATGGCAAGCTTGTATCGGCGATGTTTTATACATGGTTTTAGAAGTGGTTGGGTCGGAGGTCTCTGGCCTAGTATTCCTGCCATACCACAATTCTGTGTAATCACGACGACCTCATCCCCTCATATCCATGCTGGCTGGCCTGTCAGGTGTTGGGGCCTATGTACCATATTTATGCAAGTTTTCTCGGTCAGAAAGCAGCCCTTGTTTGCACGGGTGAGTAATCTCACTGATTTAACTCAATTCGTGTTAATGAATCCGTGTGGTAGCTGTCACTGAAACTGCGATAACCTATGGGGCAAATACGAGAAATGCAGAAGTCGCCTACAATCATTATGTCCCTCGAACGGATCGCCTCACTAACCTAACCCCTGCCTACAAACCGATCGGGCCTGGTGCCTTCGTAAGTGGTCATTTTAATCAGTTGGTCGCAGCCAGTGGGTTCAGATGCACGCGACTCGGAACGCCTTGGGAATGTGCGGAATGCGTGTTTTTGCAGCGCCATTGGATGAACATATGCGCAAAGTTATTCGGAACCCCCAGGCTTCTCGGATGTTATCGGATTTCGTGGCATCTTGTCTTAGTGGTAAGTTTCCCGGTTGCCCATCCAGAGGGCGGTGGTTCGAATCTTGGGTGGTGCATTAGGTGCTATATCCATGCCATTCAATCAACTTTATAATTTTTTCGTCACGTCAAAGGAGGCTCGGGCGGCCACCCGTCTACAGCGAGTCTCCCTCGCCACTACTTACCTCAAAGGACAATACCTCACTGTAGCTCCCGACGGCTCGTAAGTTATCCTCTTTCGAATCTTAAAGCCTAGACTTCCTGTCTCAGTGTCCGACCTAGTAGGATCATGCTTCGAGACATGGGCATGCGTTGTCTATACGCTGGTACACTATTTTGCATTTACGCTACCATTGAGAGGAACCTTGTAGAGAACTGGTCCTTCCTTTCTGAACGATTCTCCTCTTGAGGTTGCTGATGGTGGTCTTATCGAAGAAAAATATACGTCAATGAGTCGATCTGCTCGTGCTTGTTGTTGTGTTTGCTATTAAGGGGGGAGGGCAAGAACTGATGATTAACAGAAACAACACGGTGTCAATGTCAACTTCTGTGAATGGAGAGCGCGTACCATCTCAAATAAAGAAAGCGTCGGGAAGGTCCCGTTCATGTCCATCGGGGAGTAAGCCGATCGACGGTTCGCTCACTCGTTGACTATTATTACAGACCCCCGAATTGGCATGTATGATACGCGAAACTCTTCGAGACACAGTACTGGGGATATGTCCTCGTACGCTTACATGGTCAAACTTAAGACTCGAGAGCGTTCTGAATGGCAGGTCAAAAATTCAACCTGAGACTCAACACAGTCTACCGTCTGATGACTTGCTGTCAGATAATTGCAGGTGGGCCGGTTGCATAAACATTCGAGTGCATGTCTCATCAGGGTTTATGCCGTGAGTGCTACTGACGGACGCGAACAGTGCGAAAATGAAGTTAGCACAGTTGAAATGCAATCTTGGAAATTGCTTCATAAGTAAACCCATCGTGATTTGTTTATTCATGATTGGGCTTTGATATTTCTCAGAAAACTGCGAGACCTCCGACATGCTGCAACCCGACAGAACTCTTTCCTACAGTATCGTATCAGATCACAACGAGTGAAGAGCACTAACAGTAAGTAGACGTAGACCTACTATATCAATAAGCTGTATCAAGTTGATTCAGAATGAACCAATAGCCCGTCGTACTGCCACCTAGTGTTTCGCCATGTTCTTTGTAAACATATATATTATCCTCTCATCTGGCTGAATTGATTCGGTCCGTGATTCACAGCGTGACTGGATAGGAAATCATTTCGTGATTACTACTTATTTATATTGATATCACTCTTGCCTATATTCGCAACTCTACTGTAGGTTGGATTGATTCGCAACGTGATTTATTATCATTTACTTCTATTGATACCACTCTTACCTATATTCGCAGCTCTAGGTTGATTGATTCGGTACGTTAATTATTTCTATTCACTTTGTATTGATACCACTCTTATCTATATTCGCTACTCTAGGTACGCCGTACTCATTGGCTAAGATTAGAAGGAGTGATCTTGAACGATTCCAACACCAGTCACCACCCATGTTGTATGACGTTACGGATCGACCGGTGCTTACTGTGGACCTTTACCCCTACAGTGAGATGCTGAGAAGACGGTATAATATGTGATGCTTTAATCATTTATTGATGTTGTTGTTGGTGGTCCATAAACTTTCTGTTGCGTTGAAGCCTCCTTTAGACTACTAGTATAGACCTGGTTGCTTATGATATTATACGGCGTAAAGTACGGCGTATAGTACGGAGTATAGTAACTATACATTCTACTACAATACGGACCATAATGTGGTGCGTATAGTATACGTACCACATTGTGGTCCGTAATAGACAGTTTGTGAGCCACGGGCCACGCAAGTTTATCAGACATACTTCAGCGTCATTCCTAATGGTATTGTATGAATCACTCAAGCGTAGTGGCAACTGTGCTGCAATTGTTACCGCAATACCTAGAGAATGGTAGAGTTACTACTACATCTAGTAGTCTACATAGTTATCATCATAGTTTATTAACGACCTCAAAGTGCTGTAGTCGTGAAGCCGTCAGGGTTAGGCGTGTCAATAAATGCACGTAAACTTCGTATGAATAGATATTCTCTCGAGTTCCCCTTTTCCGAATACTGCTAATCTGTCTGGTTTGTCTATCGTGGACGGATCCTTCTACCACTAGTGGCCTCGACCCCTTCAACACTTACTATCCGAGAGGTTACTCGATACATTATGGCGAGTTCCGGTATCACTTGTGTAGCGTTCCGCTGCCAGCTTTTGGGAACGTCCCTGGGCTGAGGCTGCTCTCGTGGGCGTGCGACTGCTTAGGTCCTCGCCGCCTGAACACTTGATCAGGCTATGTGTTTGCGTGCTCCATTGCACGCGAACACAAGATCATTCTCAATGTTTCTCGAATTGACTGTATCCGTTACTCTACCACTACGTCCAAGTCGTAGTATCCTCTGTGCTCGGTGAACGAGTACCGTGGGCTGCAGTTCTCCCGTAACAATACTCCCAAGTTTTTCCGAGGGCAGCTGATTTTCGTTGAACCAAAGGAGGAGTAATTTACCCGTAGAAACCCGTGGCTTTCATATGAGAGACGCTGGGTCTCACGGGCGTCTCGTATCAAAGTTGCCATGAAGTATTTTCTAGATGGCCGTACCCTTCAAGAAAAGGGTAACAGTGTTGCCATTCTCAACACTCGAGTAGCTCAAGATGAATTTCTCGCTGAATACACGGCTCGGCTTTTTTAACCAGACGTGGGCACAATGCGAAGCGAAGCCAGAATTAGACGGCAACTGCCTAGTTACTCCGTCTCCATTATCGCTACCAGTCATTAAACCACTCTTACACTAACGTATCTCGACAACAAGCGAACCGAACTGGATGCGAAACGTATCCGAAACGGGCGGCGTGACGCCTCAGATGTGCATGCGTGCAACTCTATCAGCGGTCACCACTAGGAGGGATTATTGGGAGACGTGCCTCAAAGCTTGGAGACGTGACTCGTTTCTCAGCTTTGTAGTCATCTTAATGACCCTCGTACTATCCCTCTTGCTAGCCTGCATCAGTTGGCAAGCCCTCTCAGCCCCCTTCCGATGGACGGTGCTGGACCAAGGTGGAGGCCCTGGCGCCCGCGACAGGCCGGGCATCGGTTTCGATCCAGTTCGTAAGTTGAGCACCACCTTGGGAGCTCACTGGTGCTCTCCATTGTTTCAGGTAGAAATTTGATATCCTTTGGTGGTCGTTCTGGAAGTACCTTGTTCCAAGACACGTGGTACTTCAACGTGGAGAGTCGAACCTGGACTAGAGTCAATGTCCCCAATCCTCCCGCTGCGAGGTTCGATGCCATCGCCGGTAAGAGTGCTCCTTTCGCCTCGTCCCTGCTATTAGATTCATCAGGCTATGACTTGACGACGGGTCTCTTCGCTATCTCCACTGGTGATGCTGCGCCCGTCTTCTTCAACGATCTCTGGGTGCTGGTAGACTATGCTGGTCCGAACCCACAATGGCGCCGAATTGACAACCAATCGACTCTCTCATTCGAACCAAGGTGAGCATCGTCTCGCGTCATAGCTATAGAAGCTGGCCGATTAGGTACGGTTGCGGTGGGGGTATGAACCCAGATGGTTATTTCTACATTACTCATGGGTTCAGCTCTGGGACTCGTTACTCCGACACCTTTCGCTTCCGGCTCTCTGCCACTAGTGGAGGGTCCTGGGAAAAGGTAGCTCTCAGTCCTGTGCATGCGGCATTATGATCGCCTTCTTTCAGCTATCGGAGACGTTCCAGTACGGTATCAATGAGCCCCATGGGCGTTGCTTGGTTGCTAATGCGATCCCTCTGGACAGCAAGTTTGGGAAGTTTGTTATGCTCGGTGGGTGCGCCAATGGTGGCAGACACGGTGGTCCCTGCCCGGCCTACGATACTTGGACATTCGACCAGTCGATGAACTGGCAACGTCGGTCCGATGCACCGGTACCAATTCAATATGGTGACTTGGCTGCTTGGGGAAGCGATAAGATCATCATGTATGGTGGGAACGGTGGGAATCTCGCTCAGCCCATCAGCATTACCGAGCAAAACCCGTCTGATGTTCATGTCCTCGATCTCAACACGAATGAGTGGGAGAGCTACACAGCGGAGCTGCCCAGCGGGGTACCTGGACTCACGCCTCAGTCGAGCGCCATCGCCTTCCACCGAATGGCAGTAGCGAGCCTCGATCCGCCGATTGTCCTCTTATTCGGTGGTCGAATCAATGGTCATGTGTTGGTGCTTACCGGTGGTCCTGTTGGTAGCCCGAGAACTAGCGGTTGGTTCTACTTCTCTTGGATATGGATTCACGGTATATTTATGTTCGCCGCTTGGGGGTTATGTCTTCCTATCGGTGCTTTCATTTTCCGATTCTTCCGGCACAAAAAGTTTGCCTGGCCAGTTCATCTCGCTCTTCAAAGCATCGGAATAGTCTTCAGTATTGTTGGGTTCATCGCCTCCTTTTACACTGGCGGCCGTTTCGACTTCGCCCATGCGTACGTTGGCATTATAGTATTCATTCTCGGGTGTTTGCAGCCGATCAATGCGGCATTCAGATGCCACCCCCGTGGACGAAACTTCCTTTGCAAGATTGACTACAGCAAGAGGTTCATCTTCAACGCCATTCACCAACTCGGCGGGCGTGCCGCTCTGTTGCTGGGCATTGCTAATATCATGCTCGGCATACCTCTCGCTCAACTTCAAGTTGGTTGGCTGATTGGTGTTGGTGTCTGGTTCGCCGTCCTCATCGCTGGGCATTTCTTGTGCGAGATTCTTCGTACGAGAGGGATCCTACCACGCATCCCTCGAAGTGACAACGAGCTCTACCTGCCGGGCCCACTGAAGAAATTACACACGAACGCACATCGCGATGAAGATTTGATCGCGCCTATACCCAAGGATGTGGGAAGGGCGCCAGAAGCTTCCGGTCAGTGACTTTGCAAGTACTTACGTTCTCATCGGTTATCATGGTAGATTTTTTACATAAGAGCTATGAATTGGCTCTTCCTTACCTAGCTTACGCTTGGCATATTTCATCACCTGACGACGGTTGGTGAAATCATTCGAACCAAGGTTCTACTTAAAAGGATAGAAGTCTCGAGTTTGTAACCACAGGGTATTTCAATGCGTTGAGCCTAACTAAGCATCACAGAACCGAACGAGCAAGAATACATTTAAAACTCGTACGTGACTTGTTCTGCCGACCTACAGGTCATAGCGCAACAAAGGATAGGTGAAGCAGATAGATCAGTAAAGAGTCTGTATATTGGACGCACGATAACGATAACGGTTTCACGGAAGATATGTTGGCGCGATCGCCATGATATTACTCGCAGAGTACATGTGTATCGCTTCGGTCATACAGTGACGTGAACAAACTGTTTAATAGTTTGTTATAGTTGATATAGTTATTATTCTAGATGGACTACAAATATTTAATGCCTAGAACCATTAGATTGCAGAAATGTTGAGCGATTCGCCATTATTGCTGCTGAATCGCTGAGAGTTGTAGAGCGCGTCACCGGACTCTGCTTGCGTGTTGAGATTCCGTGGCATTCGGCGTGGGAAGATCAGCTGTAGTGTATACTCGAGTTTATAACTAGTAGTTATTGCTTTGAAACACTTTCTATCACCGTGACTGAATCACGTGCTAGTCGTGTAAATTATTAGATTAGCATGTGAGCATTGATAGTTTTGAGGCAGACTCTGTAAACTTTACTCAGCAGAGCAGTCCGGACCGGCTCTTTCCAGGCTGGGCGAAGGCTGCCCTAAAAGCGGTTCACCACGTCGACGCCAGGGGGTCTATGGTCGGAATGGTCGAAGACCGTCCGTTGTCGTTCTAGATTTGAAAGTTGGCTACGATAAAGTACCCCGTCCTGGCTCTGGAAAACTCTCAGGCTAGCCGGATGTGATGATAAGCTGATTTCAGCTATCGAATCACTACACCGCGATTCTGCTGCCCAGGGTCAAACTCAGGAAGGTTTATCTGACCCCTTTCCGAAAGATGAGGGTGCCGGATAGTCCTCCTTCTGTTCATTATCTTTATGGAAACTGTGATTAGAGAAGTCCAACTTGGAATCAGCTTGAGCACTTCTTTTGAGAGTGAGGGCAGTACTGTGACGAGAAGTACTTTGTGGTTCGCAATCTTTCTCAACAGATGAAGAGGTATGCCGCGCAGCCTCCATCCTCTGTGTGTGGGGTGATTCGTAGGCGCCGGCCCCATCAGTCGTTGTGCCTCTCTGGGGTCACTTGGTATGGCTGTACGAGCCCCACCGTATCCTTCTCATAGCACTGACTCGGTGTTATCAGACTCTTCTTCTTTTCGTAGGCTCAACGAGCTGAGAAATGTTGACGTCGTACTGCGAATTTTGTGTTACGTGAGTCACTCACTTGCACTAGGAAATTGAATACGACGCCTACAAGAGATCTCTACTCTCACATACAGGCAACATCTCGTCGTGGTTGATGACTCGTGGACTGTTGCAGATGCTCTGGGCATCACGCAGGTAGAAGGGTGCTACGATAGCAGCTATATGAAGCTGGGAGGCACAACTGTCATTGTTGTCGCCCAGAGAGGGGAAGCATGATCCTGGAATGCAAGACCTACACTCAGAGATTCTCTGTGCTGATGGCTGTGTTCGCGTGAAGTGCCTCGAATAAAGCAAGGAATAGACAGCAGTAGTTGTACGTTGCTGCTCCACTGTCCCCCTTTACCTTTGGTGGTCGATTCTGATTCGTGCGAACGATGAGGAAGGACCGTTTCTAATATGTGCACAACTAGTTCCATCAATGGGTGAATTAGTCATAGATGTTGCAAACCACTCTCGTAGCGTTAAATCGAAGTTCATGTGTTTCCCTAACGTGACGTGAACCACGAGAAACGCTGTGGTACCAATCTATATGTGAGAATGTCCTCCCCTGGGGAGTGTCTACACCCTCATCGGAGTCACTACTCCCAGAGTTAACAAGATCATCGAAGCATTCCTACTTGTAATGATATGAAAGCCATCGAATTGGATCCACAATACTGTATCACTGTGACACTCACGCTATGTGTGTGACACTGTCACATACATAGCATCTGTCACGGGGCTTACTCACGAGCTTCGTGAGTGATTGTGGGAGATTTTGACTTGTGTTTGGGTTCGTCAGACATACAGATCACAGGAGCGATCATTGACAGCTCTTCGTGGAAAGAATGTTCCCTCATGCTGATCTGGGACCCTGAGAGTCTCATCCTTAGCCTTGCCGTACCGTGTCATGGTTATTGATTGCATCATAGTTTCCTCATGCTCTCTCTATGTATGCCCCATTCACGGCAAAATAGGGCGTGATTGACCACTTGTCGCCTCTACGTCTAGAATCATCATCGTCAATTACTGTTTCTTCCGTTGGTTCGCCCGAAAAGGATGATCATGTCATTGTGTTTGAAACGCCAAGATGGCACACGCGTTCACGCGTGCGAGTTGGCACGAATACATGACGCAATCGGCTTTGTTTTAGCGATGAATTTCTTTCAGACTACATCTTTTTACTCTCATTGGTTGTTGAGGCCGAGTTGCACAACAGGCTCAGACTGAATAGCTCAGTCATGATTTCGAGTTAACGATGAGTGATGTGACAAGATAATGTGGGTCGAATCGATTGACCTTCCCTTCTCTAAAAAACGACGTTCGAAAATATTCTCTCCAACTGTTTCTGAGATTCACTTTATAGCTTTCCCGCTCCTGTTGAATAATGATCGAGCCTACAACTCTTCCCGGAGATGAGAATAACGGCAACTGTCCGGGGTACCTGCTAGGCCTCTATACATACGTCGACCCCATAGACCACGGAGGCGAGCCCCTTGGTTTCCGTCCCCCCGCTGCGGATCTGTACATCTACGAGGACAAAGGCGAGTGTCAGATGATGGTTCTACTGTACAGGCCTCATCATGTATTAGAGCCTGCCATAACCTCACTAAAGTTGCATGAGAACTCCTTGATGCTGTCTGACGCTTTAAACCGACATGCTCCCCGAGATGCCAGCATATTTCCGAGACACTTCACGAGATGGGTTACGACTATCCAAGAAGAGATCACCATTCACTTGGCCGG